TAGTACTCGAGAGTAAACACAACAAATCCAGGCGTGTAATGTCCAGGATGAACACTGGAGTTCCAGTCTAACACCACGTAACTCTGTGTAATTAATTTCCCAGTTGGAGTCATTTTAGTCTCAGTTTTCACTGAGCTCACTAGAGAATAGATACCACATTCCACAGTTTGATGAGAGACCCCAGGCAGGAATTGCAAAAGAGGTATCTTAGAACCAGTTCTCCAACTTAGTAGACTATCTTTCTCAGCTCTATACCCCCACCCTAGCCCCAATTCCCCCCAAAAAAGCAAAGAAAAAAATTTGTTAACTCCAAGAAAGGAGATAAATATAAGGAGATATTTTTGGAGAGAGTATTGGTATGTATTGATCCCACTTCCTTGTCAGCATGGAGGAGAGTTCTTGAACCTCATTTTAAGCCTAGAGGAAGGAGTTTCATCTCGTCTATTCTGCAAGCCTGGTATTTGTTCCCTGGATCTTGGGAGACGTATGGACTGCTGTAAGTCTCAGGCCAAAGGAATCTAAAGGGCAGAGACTATGGTAGGTGTGTTGCTATGAAGCCTGCATAAGTCTCTTTAACACTAGTGCAGATATTTCTACCACTGGAATGAGGCTGTTTCTTTGTGTCTCGAAATACCCAAAATAATTTATATTACCTGAGAATGACAGAAATACCATGAGACTTATCCTAGATTTTATCCAAGAGGCAAGGGAAGAATTGGTTCAAACCAAGTAGAATTAAAAACCATAAAAGACAAAAATAAAATTACTTCATTATTATACCTTTTGTTTCTTTTGTGTTCAGTTTACTAAGTTGTTTAATATATATTATACACCCATATGTATATACACATATGTGTCTATGTATATATATGTATACATATACACTTATACATTCATATACATACATTGTACATATATGATACATATGTAGAAGAGCAAGGTTATAACATAAAAAACATAACTATAATTTATTGATTGTTAATTATTTTCCAGGCACTGTATTAAGACTTTTACAGATGTTATTTATTTTTCATAGCCATCTTAGACAGAATTTATAGTTCTCATTTAATTGAGCAAGCTATTAAGTAGCTTGCTCGGGAGCTCACACATTAACATATGTTAATGTCTTAGCCTGAACTCAGGTCTACCTGACTCTGAGATCCAAGCATTGCAGCACTGATTTATTTTGCTATAAGTTATAGTCAGCTTGACCTTTGACAACAGCAACTGATTATATTGTCCAGTGGCCACTGGGAATTAAAAAGGAGTGGAAAGATTGTTCATAAGATGTGGTATAAGTCAGAGTGTGTCTTCTAAGGACTCATGTTATAATGAATAGAAAAGGAACAGTTTGAGACACTAACAGAAAGAACAGCGTCAACACAAAACAACTTGCTATTTTTCTCAACTGAAAATGCAGAGTTGCTTCCATCTGCAGGACAAAGGGACAACTGCAGTATTCCCAGGGGGCCAGGCTGAGGGCATCACTCACCTCATCAGCAGGTGGCTCTAACGTTCCAACCAGAGTAGTGCAAATACTGAGTGAGTGGGAATGCAGTTCATGTGAATCAACAAAAGTGTCTTAGGGATTGTGTAGAGCAAAGAGCTCAGGTGCTGCAACGAGGATCCAGCCACTTCTGCCAACCTAGTATTTATCCTGGGGGACCCCGGATTGTTCAGAAAGAGCAAGTCCAACATCCCCTCCTCCTCTGTAAAATGTAGAGTGGTGAGGACTAAATTAAATTCAACTTATATTTATGGAGAGCCTACTGTGTGTCTGGCAGAATTTTAAGCACTTGAGATGCATTGGTGAAAAAACAAAGCTGTCTGGCTTCATGGATCTTAGATGGGATAATATGCTTGACAATAATTTTAAGCACTCCTGAGCCACAGGTGCAGTGATCATTGTCCTTTGTGTTCATTCTGCACTGGGAAACCCTACATATTTCTACCTAATGCATCTGTGTACTATTATTGGTACTCTAACTGCTATTGCTAACTTCAGGCTGTAATCACAGGTACCTTAATGGGACTCTCCACTTCAGACCATGAGCCCTGCTCTGGTCCCCTCACGGCAGCTTTTCAAGGAGGGGGACCAAGTTTCCATCTTCTATTGCCTCTGTGTTCCCAGGACCTAGTATAGGACTGGAGTCAGTGTAGGCTCTGAATGGAATGATATAAACTAGAATTGAGTTGATAAAGCTAAACACTGGACGCATGGGCATGGGCGGAAAGTGAAAAAGGTTTGTTTGTATAGACTTGTGATGATTTATTCTGCATCCACACCCTCTGTGCTCACAGCTCTCAACACCTTTATCTCTTTTTATAAGTGCCCTCCTCCCACCCATAAAGTCCTCTCTGTTAGTCTGCATGGCTCTCCTATCTTGGATCTCCTTTCACATTATGGCCTCGCTCACAGAAATGAACATTTAAACATGATAGTCTATGCTATTCTCTAAAATGTAGTGAACTTTGACTCAGAAACAGTTCTATAGTCCCATGTATGCCCCCGCCTCAACCACATACTATGCCCAGTACAAGGTTGGAAATGACATAAATCAGTTACAGTCCATATCTCTCTTGTGAAAGAATCTTCGATTTTGAGTGATCGTTGTGTACATGTGTATGTTCACATGTAGAATGCATGCATGTGTTCAATGTCTTTACCTTTCCTTAATCTTCTCCATTAAGTTCTAATATTTGGATTAGGGGATGTGCTTTTGATGCTAGATAGAAAAGAGGTTTTTTGTTTTTTTAACCAAAGATGTAATTCTGATACCCCTCTTTGTACAGCTTTGTCTGTGATTTGTAGTTTGTGACTCTGAAAAGTAGTATGCTGGTTTTAATGTGGAGTTTTCATTTCTTCTCCTTAGTTTCTCAAAGCACGGTCATCTGTTTTAAAATCAGAATTTTATACAAGACGTATATAAATGTGAATTTCTGGCCTCCATTCCCAACTTTCTGAGTTGAAATCTCTGAGGGTTGAGTTCCCAGGTACATTTATAGCAAATGGCTTTGGAGATTCCAGTGTGCACTCAAGTTTAAGATCCATCGCCCTGGGGTGCACTGTTAGCAGGAAAAGTACATTGTGAAAGGTCCCCGGGTGGAAAGCTAGCAGCTAAGTCCTGGACTTTTCCTGTAATGGGCATGTGCTTTTGGAATGAGTTTCCTCTCCCAGATCAATAGAGCATGAGCATTTTAGATTTCAGGGCACAGGAAAAGATTCACTTGTGAGTCACCAAAGCAGTATGTGTGCATTGCAGCTCACTTCCACCATGGGTAATTGCATTATTGGAATGAGCACCTTTAAAAATAAGTATAATTTTTCCCAAATGTTAAGTAAAATTATTAAAATAAAATAAGCAAATTTAAAAGCATCTGGAATGTGCCTCATAAGCTAACAACGATAACTACTATTGACATGTACATTCTTATTTATGGCAATAATTGGGCTTATATTCCATATATGGTTTTACATCCAGCTTTTATTTTTTTATTTTTTAAATTTTTTATTTTTGGTATGTGCCCCTAGCAGGAACCGAACCCAGAACTCTAGTCTGCAGGCGATGCTCCAACCGCTGAGCCAAACCGGCCAGGGCTACCTCCAGCTTTTAGATTTAATTTTACATTTAAATATACCTTTTATATATTTTAACACAGATGAATTAAAATGAGAAAATAATGAGCATTAGTCACAAAATTTACAGTTTAAAATATTCTTGACGATGATGTATCAATACTGATTTTAGCCTTTTACACGAAATACTATGACCAGATCATTATTGAATACAAAAATGTAATTTCCTCATGTACTGGTACTAAAATGACTTAGTGGCTGATTCTTTTCAGAGTAATGACCTATTTCTACTCCTTATTCCCGTTTCTCTTTTTCTATCTCTTCTCCCGCTTTTCTCATTCTTTCTTGCATTAAGAGCCACATAAAATATTTTTTTATTATTATCCCTGAAACTAGTATTTTACTGTAGAGAAGTCTATCTGATGATGATAAAATAAGGAGATATATGTCCTTTTAAGTATTTTTAAAAGACTACTGTTATGGAATGTTTATACCCAAGAATGCTACCCATTCAGCTGTAGGTAAAACTCCAGTTGCTATAAAAAAAAAAACCAACAAAAAAACAAAAAACAAAACAAAACAAAACTTTAATATGCATGTAGTTTCCTAAAGTAAATGATGTTGTTGTTGTTGTTGTTGTTTTCCTGACATATATAAGACAGGCTATTTTCAAACATTGGGAAAAAAGTAATCATACAAGGAATTCTTGGTCACATCAATATTTATCACTTAGCTATTTTTGCCAGACAGTATTCTAAATGATTTAGAGTCACTATGTCCTTTAATTTTCACAAACACCTTATGAAGACAGTATTAACACTCCCATTTGACAGAAACTGCAGCCCATGTGCGTTCAAGTTATAAGGGTCAGAACAAGGGTTTCCACCCAGAGCTGTGGGTCGGAAAACGTGCTCTTTCCCGCTCTGTCTGGGGACAGGTTAGGGGCCGACAGGTTAGGGGCCCACAGGTTAGGGGCCGTGGCTCTACCAGGGGCCCAGGTGCTGGAAACCTCCATGGGGCTGTTCTGCCCCATACTTTGGAATGCAAACTCCCTTGAGCAAGCGCTCGTTTGGCATAGTTTCACCAGTGGCCTGTCTGTCTAAGGTAGTCAGGGAATATTAAAATAGTCCTAATAATAAAATAGCACTCAGTCAACCGTGCAGCCTCCTTAGGGAGGGGTGGAGAATAGCTCACTTTCCCTGGAGGGCCTGAGAAAGATCAGTTTACAAGCGTCAGCATGGGGAGGACCCTTCTTCCTTCTCTCCATCTTGGTGCTGGCGTGTGCCTTGGTGACCATCATCTCACATTAGTAGCCCACGGTCTGGGCCGAGCACAAACCCAGGGCTCCTTTTCTCCCCCACACAAAACACACCCAGCCCTTTCCCTGACCTGGCTTGTGATTGGAGGCGGGTTGTTTGGGATAATGACCTCCAGGACCCCTCTGTGTGTTGCAGCCTGTTTGTATAACTCTTACCGCAACTCAAGACGCCTGCAGTGCGGTGTGAGGAGAAGGAAAAGACCAGGTACCAGAAGCACGGGAGAGTGACACATTCCAGCCACCTGAGTGGGCGCAGGGCCGGCACCCTCCTGTGCTTCTCCTCCAGACGGCTGCTTGCTAAGATGAGGGACCTCCTTCAGTACGTCGCCTGCTTCTTTGCCTTTTTCTCTACTGGGTTCTTGGTGGTAGCCACCTGGACAGACTGTTGGATGGTGAATGCCGATGATTCCCTGGAGGTAAGAAGTCAGCAGCTTCTTTTTCTTACCCACGCCCTTCCAAATGTTCTCCAAGCCCCACTGCTTTTCTGTGTTCACTGGGATTAATGATAGTGGCCACCATGGGCTGATCGAGTTTTTACTACTTACTGAATCTTCTTCACACTATTAACTCATTTAATCCTCACAGCTAATCAGTGTGTAGGTATTGTTGCCATTCCATTTCACAGCTGAGGTAACTGAATTCTTTCTCCTTTTTCATGAAGATAAGTTCATACAAGGCTAATGATAGAATTCCTGCCACAGCCCTCCAGAAATTCACCTCTTCCATTGCTGCATATACCAATTTTATTTATTTATTTATTTATTTATTTATTTATTTATTTATTTATTTTTGTTACAAATGTCCCCCCCCCCACTGATTCCCCCCTTCCTGTCCCTCCCCGCCCTGTCCCCAGCTTTGTTGTCCATGTCCATTGTGTTCCACTAATATTCTTTCTTTATTCTTTTTATTGAATTCATTGGGGTGACACTGGTTAACAAAACCATACAGGTTTCTGGTGCACAATTCCACAACACACCATCTGTACACTGCATTGTGTGTTCACCACCCCAAGTCAAGCCTCCTTCCATCATCATTTATCCCCCCTTTTCCCTCCTCCACTCCCCCCCTCCCCTGTCTCCTTGGCAATTCCCACACTTGTCAGTGTCCACGAGTTTTTTCTCAATCCCTCCACCCCCTTACCCAACCCCTAACCCCCACCCTGACAGTGTCTTAAACATAAATTTGCTTATCTTGATGACAGCATTAAGAGTGTGATACATTTTCTTAAAAAAATAAAAGTGCTAAAAGTTTGAGTTTAAGTTTTCATAATGACTAAAATAGTCACATATATGGCATGAACTGTTCTTCAAATACGGGAGCATGTCATGTTGAAAAACCTCCATGTTCACTGAGCACTATTTTGTGTAAAAAGAAAAGGTAAAAAAATAAGCACCAGTTAATATATGTAGGATAAGATCAACCTTATGGCCAATGAATAGAGCAATACTGGAACCTGTTTGCCAGGACGAACTAGACAATCAGTGGCTCCGAAAAAGGTTCAGACAAGGAAAAAAAAGTCCTCATTTATTAAGTGTATTCAAAATAAAACACAAACAGCAAAATTAAAGAAAAAAAAGAATGGTAATCTAAGACATTGAGTAATCAAACTCAAGGCATATAAAACCTATTCAGTAGTATGCTATAGAAAAATGTTATTTTAAGGAGTTTCCAAGTGGGAGAAAGCACCCCAAGGGAAAACACGTCTCCCAGTGTGTCCCAAGGAACAGGGAACAGATATGGATTTAAGAAACCCTCTCTTAGAAATCAGTTGCTCTTGGAACCAACTATTATGCAAGAATGGTGAGTGGTTGACATTTGAAGATTTTATTTTTCTCACTGGAGAAGCTCAGAAAGAAGTAATTTTGGAGTTTAAAAGCATTTCCTGTGGCTATCGAATCTGAGAGAGCTAGAACTGAGTAAATGTCAAAATCGGTTACTGTTCATTAGTAAGGTTTCAGAAAGTGTAAGGAAGAAAAAGAAACACTATATCAGGACCTCCAATAAAGAATATATAGCAATCCAATATGCTGTCCTATGAACATTCTGAAGGGAACGATTTAATAACTGCTAAAATGTCACCTCTAAGAAGCTTAGGAAAGATACCTGAGAGCACACCCACATCTTTTTGTTCTCCTAATTTATTTAGTTGCAGTTAGAAATGAAGGGTAATAATCTTTCTATTTTGCAGTGTATTATTGCTTCCATTTATTTTTTTCTTGCTTTTAATTTTCCTTAGACTTCTACATGGCATTTCAAAACAAATGAAGCTATAAATAATTCTTTCGTGCTAAAAAAATGTATTTCTGAAAATTTTGATAGAACTAACTACTATACAGGATGCTGCTTTACCTATGTTCAGCGATGCATTTTATCTGCTCATGCATATAAGCATTTGTGCACTGTATCATGCACACAGCAGTGAATGAAGACAGCCTTCTGGACAATGCTCAGGGGAAAGTGTGGATACAAACATCTGCTGCCATCAGCTTGCTGGAATCGGGCTGTCAGCAGCAGGTGAATATCTCAAAAATATGTTGGACTTTAGACTTGAAATTATGTTTTTCAAAATATACAAAATTTCATCTAAAAGCATTGTTGAAATACTTTCTAAAACAATTTGAAAATCTGCGTAAGCTGATGGAACTGCTAGCTTCACTTGATAAGCAGTGGAGGTTGAGGAAGGGTCAAGCCTTGCTGAGAAAGATTGGGAGTCCTGGCATTTAATGTGCCTTCTTGCTTTTACTCCGCTCCATCCAACCTTGCCATCTGCTCTGGGCAAGAACACTTCTAGTTAAAATGAATGGAATGAGCAGTCTGGGTTATTCACCTCGAGTAAATCCTTGCTAACCTTGGGCCAGTTGTAGTGAGTATTTCTTAGCTTCTTCCCTCTTTCCTACACTTGAAATATGTTGCTATAAATATTCCCCAAGAAGCCTCCACATTACACGAAGAAAACTGTCACCGATGAGGCCCCTCCTCTTCCAACAATCTCTTTATTTGGCAATATTTTTAAAGGGACGTAAATCTCTCTTAATAATTGCTCCTTCAATGGGCCATTGAAATCATACTTTTATTTATAAATTTGAAGGTTATGACACTCACGGACTCAATTATACTGCTCTTCTTGCCCCTTCCTCATGTATATGTATTACCGCGAGTCCATAGTAATAGCTCACTTTGCACAACGATTGAACAAAAGTTGGCAGCACAAAGGTGCTTTTAAAAAAATAAAAAACATACCTATGGAAAAACGTTTTAAAAGGGAGTGTTATGAATTTCTAGCTTTGTTATTAATCTTTTAGGATGAGATAGGCTTCAGAGTTGGAAACTCAACTCAACATAAAACACACACACACACACACACACACACACACACACGAAATGTATGTCATGTAAATGGTACTATGCTAATTTTTACTAGAGGAGATAAGGGTAAAGCAAGAATGAGTTGGGCCTGACAGAAGTGTATATCTAATGAGGAAAGATATGCACGGGAAACTATAGTAAAAGGCACAGGAATGAACAAAGTATCCCGAGAGCAGAGAAGATGGAATGATTATTTCCTGTCAGAGACACTGAAGCAGGCCTTGGGAAGGAAAAAGCATTTGAACAAAGCTTCAGAAAGATACGAAGGATTTTAAAAGGTGAAAATGGCAGCCGGGGCCATACAGACAAGGAGGTACATAGCAAAGGGAGGCGGGAGCAGACCCCTGGGGCTTGTTAGAGGATCAAGGTGAGTACCAAGGAGCATGCGGCAGAGGAGCCTCCAAACACACAGAATGTTATTTTGCCTAACTGATACCTGCCTCGGAGAGTGAAGTTCTTTGCATTAACTGAAACATTAGGAAAAAGAAATAGCCCGCAGAACTTCAGTGTGCATAGCCCCAAGCCAGGGACCAAGCCCTCCAAGCTACCATACTGCTCCTGTCATTACTGATTCATTTGTGTCTCCAGGAAGACAGATGTGGCGAAGAGAACTTGAATTTTGAAATTATTCCAGCCCGTGTTTGTATCTTATTTGTCTTCTATTGATTGAGCAAGTCATATCTCTTGTCTTTGGCTCCATTATAAGATGAAGTTGAACTCAGCTGTTTTAAGATCCTTTTCAATTTTTTTTTAAAGAAGAATTAACATCTTATTTATTAACTAGCATTTAAAATATGAGAGCAATAAGAAAATAATTAAGAAATAATATGTGGGGGTCATCTTCCAGAAAGTTACAATCTAATTTGAGATAAACAAATTCATATATGAGGTTTGTAAAGAAACATTAACACAAGAAAAATGGTACATAGATAAAAGTCAATGCAAAAGAAACTTTTTCACATTTTTTGTGTATCGGAATTGATTTATTCAGTCTTTCATCAACTACATTTTGCATGAGTACTATCTGTCAAACATTGTTTCAGACACTGGAGATACAACAATGAACAAACACACTAAAAACCTACCTCCATGGAATTTACATTTTAGAGAGAAAATATACAAATTAAGTAAAGTCCATAGTGTATCAGAAGGTGACAAATGCTGTAGAGTGAAAAAGCAGAGACGATGGACAGGAACTGGCAGGAAGTCACAATTTTAAGAAGAGTGGTTAGGGTTTATAATACATTTTTTAAATTAAAATCATATTAGTCTGTAGAAGCTAAAGTTGAAACAAGGCCAAGCTGTTTTCTCTAGTGAAGGAATAAATGAAAATAATTCAATAAAGGACCAAGAGTGGTGTGAGGTACTTTGTTTATTTCTTTCAAAGTCCTGGAAAAAAGAGTGGCAGCGTGAAGAACAGGTTTCTGTAGACAGAGATCTGTGCTGGCCCGAAGGAAAGGGGGAAGAAGCCAGCGAAAGGCAAAGACAAGGACAGCTAACAGTCATTTTTTTTTGTAAAGTATGGCCTCAAGAGATACTTAAGATACATTTCAAAAAGAAAATATCTTCTGCACGTATTGGTTACTCAATGGGTGAACAATTATTCAATGCTAATATCTTAATAGACTTGGTTTAATAAAGAGACATGGGAACAAATATATATATATATATATATATATATATATATATATATATATATATATATATTTTTTTTTTTTACCCAAAACTATGATGACTTCTCAAGAGTTTATGAGGCTAAAGCAGAACTTTTTCTGCAAGCGGAAATCCCGTTATCACAAACACCATTCCGTAGAAGTCGCCTTCATAGCAGCATCCAGTGTGTGCTGAGGTCTCAGGGGAAGATAAGTGGGACTGTGCTCAGCTATCACTCACAGCATCTTCAGTACCACCATCCCATTTTATTTCAGAGGCCAACTGACCTACCAAAAAACTCAAATCTTTTTTTCAATTACACTTGACATTCAATATTATTTTATGTTAGTTTCAGGTATACAGCGTAATGGTTAGACATTTATATAATTTAAAAAGT